TCCTAAACAACCTTGTTGCTGGCGTTAGTAAAATGACGTCCAGATTCGTGGGACGCTAGACTCGGTATGATGATGACTCTTTGTCTAGATAACACAGAATGCACATTCAATTCCAAAAAGTTGTGCCATAGTATATTGACAGAGCTTAAATAACATGCTGAGGGAAAACTATACAACAGATTACACCAGTTATCAATCCAAACCTCATTCTTCTCTTGAAGTGCATTTCCACAAGCAATTCCAAACTATGTCAAAACAAACTAATAACCGGCGGTTTCCATTGTATTTGATTTCAAGGAAGACAGCAAGCTTTGAGTTTTTTTTTTTTTTCAATCTTCCAGAGAAGTGATTAACTTAAGAAGATAATTCAAGCAAGATCTGGAAGTATAAACTGATATTTTTCATAAAAGAAGCTCATTATGGATCGGCAAGTAAAAACAAAGCCAAAAAAATATGAAAAACTAGAACGAGAACGTAATAAATACTTAGAAACGAAATTTATAATACAGTTTAGAGAAAACGTCGGATTGAACGGCATTAGATCCAAGAACAATGTATTCTGGAATACAAAATCGGGAAAGGAAAAGTACGTCCATGTGAGAGAGGAGGAGCTTACAGTCTCGAAAGACGATGTTATCGCCACGCTGGGACAAAACGAAGAACTGCGAGATCATGACTTCTTCGGCGTTAGTTCACGCAGGGTGCACGGTCAGCTGCTGCCTTAGCTATGGCTAGCTGTTTTCCTTTCCGCTGACGGGCGCGTTGCTGCCCGTGTTATAAAAGGATTTTCTCCCAGTCACACCCGCTGAGACAATTGCAGTGTTTTATTTTTCCCTTTGTGAAAATTCCTTCCCGTCCCTCGTAAAAAATTTCTTTTGGCAGTTAACTAAATCACACACATTTATTATTACATCCGGTCCTAATTATAAGATTTATTTAACTAATTTTAAGAGATTAAATAACTAAATTGAACTAGTTATTTGTTCTAAATAAATGTTGTCTTTATTAAAATATCCTTGTTAATCAAGTGTATTGACTAGAACTGTAATTATTAGAAGGACTAGAAAAAATTGAGTAAATATGAGAGATAAAGTGGATTGGAGTCTTATATTTAAGACCAAAATAAAAGTCAAACAAGGTGTTGTATTAAGGATCGGAGGTAGTATCTAAAGATTTCTAAAGGATTTATAGTGAAAGTGTTTAAAATAATTGATAAAAATTAAGTAGCCTTATGGGGATGATATATTAAATTAAAAGAACAAATCATATAATTTGTAGACGACAAATAATGCAATATAAAAGTTAAATCACTTTATATTAACATTGATTCGTTTTTTATATAACTTAGAGTATCTTTAAATCACTTTGAACTTGAAACTAATCTCTATCAGATCAGGAATATTAAGGTTAAAGTACTCCTAATAAATGCGTTGTTCAGAATATTCTCCTCCTTATAAGATGAAACCACTTACCATTTTAATTAACAATTTATTATTATATTGACATTAATTGTTAATAGTAGCAGTGATGACCATAAATAATTAAATATGCTCTGGGCATTCATCCCATAAACTCCTTTCCTAATGATTCATAATTATAAAAATACTAATTATGTATAGACATATTTTGAACTTTGAAGAGACTCTAATTCTAGTAATGAAAAGCCAGGTCCCTTCCCTCCGAGTGGGGGGGGGGGGGAATTAAGAAGGTCGGTAGGCTTTGATGCATCCGAATTTTTCATCTATATTATTAAGTCCCTTTACAAAACAAAAAATGAATAACATTAAATTCTTATTTTCCAATGGCTTTAGAGTAAGGCACAGAGTGGTATTAAGTGTGTAGTGGTTTGTCTTGAAGTGGGGGCTAATTAGTTTACAAGTTTTGTTATCGAGAAAGGCGATGCCTTGAACAATCAGCAGTAACATGTGGTAATGAGGATGTGGCCCAAATTGAGTCTGATGGCCAACATGAGGACTTCTTGGACACAATGAACAACGCCCTAACATCAACACCAAAATTCTTGGTCTTTAACACTATAACTGCGTTCTTTAACATTGCATCCTCTCCAATCAAGTGTCCATTTCTCAAAGGAGCAATTTGAAAAATCATAGTATCCTCCATGAAGAGAAAGCAACTCCTTTTTCACTCTTTCTTCTATCCAAGGGTAACTCAGCAAGTTCAATAGTGATTGGTTTAGAGACTCCTGCAACCATTCCATAAACATTCATTTGAGTCAGTAACAGAGCCAGTACAATTCAAGCAATTTGGCCAAGTACTGAAGGAGAGCCAACTCTTTCATGCACTTCTTGCATAGAATTGTGCGCGTAAAAACCAGTGCCTATGTATGAATTTTTCTTGAGAAAGATTATATACCTTCTCACAGAATCTGCATCGCATACCAAAGCCAAGATGAGCTGTGGCAGCTTTTGTCCTCGACTTGGCAACTTTCCCATTAACAACCCATTTGTTAATGAAGCTCCTGGGGCAAACGTTAATTCTATGATTTTATTTGCTAAACGTAAACCAGAACTCCTGAACGTTCATTTTCTTTTTTCTTTTTTTTGGGTAAGAGATAATTTTGATAAAACAAACCTCGATTCGACGTCTTCTTGTATATTCATCAACGTTTCAATTCCAGCACAATTGCTATGACCAACAACTAGAATATTTTCAACCTGAAAATGAAACTAAACATTTTTCAATCACGCAGTCATAAAGGGAGAGTGCTTCATCCTTTGCTCTATAGATCATCTAATTCCAGAAATTTATTCCTTTTTGAGATATATCTATAGTCTCCATCATTTAACTTTACTCTCTTAGTAGATAACGTGCCTTGAGAATAGTTACAGCAAACTCAAGAGCAGCATTACACTCAGTTGCTCCATTCTGCCCAAAAAAGCAAAAGAAATATATTACATGAGGTCAGGATTTAGACTAGGTTTGAGACAATGGGCAATCATCTGACCGCACAAAATTCAGAAGCAACGATTGAAGCACCTTCATGGGAGGAACAAGATTGGCGATGTTACGTATCATGAAGGCATCTCCAGGTTGAAATCCTAAAATGTTAGAGGGACATACCCTAGAGTCTGCACAAGCAATTACCATGAACTGTACTGGGATTTGTCAGTTATGAATGAACCTTCTCTTAGTTTAACTACTAAAATATGGAGTGACGTAGCATTGAAGAACTTCAGAAATTAACCAAAAACAAAACAAGGAAGACTATAATAAGTAAAACAAATGAACTCTGGAAACATGTGTTACCACCTTTGGAGACTGAGCTTCAGCAAGAGCTTGAAAATGCTCCAACTCTTTCCTGTCTAAATGCAACTTAGCTCGTAAGATACTTCACAGAGATGACAAAGACCAAATGCCAACTGACCACTACTCACAGGTATTTTTGGTTCTTGAAACTCAGAAACCTCTGTCTCATCACACCAAATAAGTCCTGTCTATCATCATTTTCAACTGTGGGACCAAGGTTTGGGCCGTTATACTCTTTACTGAGTCCAAGATAATTTGGAGCAACTGGTTGTTTCTCCCTAAAGAAAGGGAAAATAGCAAGTGAATGAAAGTTCTCTAGCCAGGATACTTGGTTAAAATAGCCGAATTCGTTGCAGTTTATAGCGACAAATAAAGCTAGAAGGGTAAGCCTTTCTTCAAACAGCAGAATAGCTCACAATGTTATAGAGCACGAGTTCGAATTTTTAAGCGAGCCCAAATCTTAATAATGTCACTTTTCAAGTTGAATTTCAATCCATGTTAGCCGGTGTTTCAAAGCCTGACTTACTTTATCGAAGGCGAGAGTGCTGCTTCACTTCTTGCCCTTTTCGCCTGAACACCCAGCAAGAGCGGGAAAAAAAAATCAGCTAGGAACAAAACGAAGAACAAAAGAACCATGAAGAAAGAAACATTAGATCAACAGGCTGATAGCTTATCATCAACAACAGATAATTGAAACAGTTTGGCCTTCAATTATAGAAGCCTAAGATCAGGACGAGAGGGAAGAAACTGACGAAGTTAGGGCGAGGCATTGTTCTTGAGAAACCCAGGGATAAACTGTTTGGAGTCGAAAAGGGTGAGCACAAAGAGGAGTCCCCATGGACAGACGAAGCCACAAGAGCAAACGTTGATCGGACAAGTGAACCAGTTTTGGAGCCTGCATTTACCAAGTATACAAATTTCTATCATTGGTTTGATCTGTTTCTAGGAAAACTTCTCTTAACTGTAGAACTGCAAAATCCAGATTGGTAACTCACGGTCACGGATCAGCCACACCATCTCTTCTCTTCCTGTCTACAGCAGCCTACACCCACATCCTCACGCCGTGTCCATTTTTATCTCCCAAAATAAATTTAATTTAATATTATCTTTTAGTGATAAATCATTTGGATTTTATTATGCGCGCGTTTCTTGAGACGAAAGTTAGTTGAATGGAATTGAAGATGCTCAATTATATAGAATAGACGAATAGACTTATCCAAGTGTTCCGCGTCACCCACAAATAGTTATCCCATTATATGGGACATCCTTTCCAGACCCGGCACGACATCAACTACCTTCTTATGTCACTTCATCGTTGGCACCATTATCCATTCGACTCTTCTTTTTTGGATATTGCTATCACAACTCAGGTACCCACATCTAATCTTAAACTATTCTCCATTTTGATTCTTTTTCTTTCCTTTTTTTTTTTCGGATTGCTATGAATCATGATGAATATGATCGTTCGAATGAACTGTTAGGTTTCCGCATATGCTAGCTATCCAACTTCGCTTTTTAACTTTTACATAATATAATCCTCCAAAGAAAAATGAAGGGAGGCACTAGAGGAAGAAAACACACAGATGGTCTGAATTCTCAGCTTTTACTGATTCGATCCTATGTCTGCATTTGATTACATGTTCGCAGTCCCCAGCAAGAAGCCGCTTTGGCCCTCACTAGGTAAGCCGTGACAATGTCGGGCCCGTTTTTGGCCCAAGGACATTCGGCCCAATCTAGACCCCACGAGGGCCCGATTCTACTACAGCTGTCAAAGCCCGTTCCAGTGCCCCAACCTCCTCTTCTCCAGCAGTCCATTGGACAACCACCACACTCTTGGTTCGCCCACCAATGGTCATCATCTCGGCTCGCACCGCCTTGGCCCGAACGGAACGGATGGCCTCCTCTAAATCACGGTTCAGATTGGGCCGGTCCTCGCAGCAGAGCGTGGCTTTTACGAGTTTCCTCTCTCCGCCTCCGTCGCAGTAACTCACAGTTGCCTCGTCCGACTCTCCCGGGAACGCCCACTGCTCCGAGTCTCCGGGATCCGACCGAGATTCTCCGCTGATGGTGCTGCCCGACGAGTCTCCGTCGTGATGGCGCGTCACGTCATCAGCCTGTTTCCTCAGCTCTTTGACGTGTCGGACCACCTCTGCCAGCAACGACGCCTTGTCCGACTGCACCGGTAAAAACATTGTTAAAATTACTAGAGAGACCTCGAGTATGAGGGACTGAAAGGGAATAAGGAAGGAGCAGGAATATTCACCTTTACGGCGTTAGGGAGGAGGGAACGTAGAGTGGAGAGGTGGGCGTTGATTCGCTGCCTTCGTCTCCTCTCAGCTTCTCTATGGCTCTTGCATGCTTCCATCGACTTCCTCTCAGACTTTGATGTGGCGCTCAGAATTGGTTTCCCGTTATCCAATTCCACGGACTTGATGGATGAGCTGGGTTCCTGAGAATACGCACTCTGATCTAACCAGCTCTCAAACCCATAGAAACTCCTGAAAGGAAGCATCTTGCTTGCTTCTGTCGAACGAGAGGGATGCGATATGGGAAGAAACGCAAACGAGCACGTAGAGGTAATGCGAAGTGAAAAGTAGAGAAGGTCTAGGACGTAAGGCGTGATGGGCAGCTTTTGGGGCGGAAGAGTACGTACATGGGAGACACAGAGAGTGAAAAGCAGAGGGAAAAGGAATAGTAATAAGGAGCGAAGAGAAGACAAAGGTAGAAGAAGTTTGAACTGTAGTAGAAGAGAATGAGCCCAGGAGACACATAAGACTGGTACTTTTCCTTTCTTGTTGAAAACGTCTGAAAAGAAAGCAGCCAGAAAATAAAATAAAAGTGGAGGATGGAGTGGGAGAGACTTACCGAGGGAGGAAGGAGGAGGAAATAGGGAGATAGGAGAAAGGTTAAACTTGTGACCTCTGACGCCTGAGAGACCTGCAGATCAGATCATCAGAGAGTAACTAGTGCCTGCTACGTGCACAATAGAGAGAGCTGGGGTCAGAACTCAGAAATGACTACACCATTACGCACCTTAATTTGTTCTCATTTGCGGACAAAGAAACACGAAAAGCTTTAGCTTTAACCATCTCTGTTCGCTTTTTCAAACTATTTGGACTGTGTTGGAGGGTGAGAGGGTGATGTGTGAATGCGGATTGTGGAGTAATTACTTCGTATTAAAGGGGGGGGGGGAAAACAGAGACCTCCGAAGTTATGACTATGATTTGATGATAAAGACGTCATCTTCTTCTAAGTACTAAACAAAGTGAAAAAAGCCACATCAACTAATGCGACATGAAAAACGCAAGGGAGTAAGAAGAGGAGAAGTAGGGAAGTGATGAAGTGGGTTTTGAAGGAGGCGAGGTGGGCGGAGCTAATTTGTGGTAAATGGTTCATGGAGAAGAGAGAGCGGCGTGTTGTGTGCAAAGGGGAAAATAAGGGGAGCAGTCATTTTCAAACGGGCAAAAAGAAGGCACTGTTACTTAATACATACAGTCTCCTACGGCGGCGCCGACAACTATGTTAAGGGAATCAAAAGAGGACAGGCAGCAATATCCCAAGCCGACAACATCTTTTGGTCCTCTCTGATCACACCTCTCTCGTCACCTCAAAGCATCCATCGCTTTCCCACCTCCACCTTTTGATCCGATGGTTTTAAATTCCTCGATCTTTACCTCTCCTCCCAAACCCGCGGACTTTTACAACCAGTATCATGTAATTACATGCTTCTTGCTCTTCAATTCCCGGCGAGACTGGTCTACAAAATGATATTAACTATCATAGATTGATAAAAGATGGGACATGGCCTGGGTAGGGAAGGAGGGTTTTAGGGCTGTGTTTGTACATGCATATATGCATGGAGACATGCATGTGTTTTCCCCCTGGTGGGATATTCCCGCAAGTCGACGCTGCGTACTCCAAGTTCGTCTTCAGTGTAAATTCACTTCTGCAGCGACCAATAATACAAGGCTCTGTATTTTTGCAAATCCCCAAAGGCAAGTTGGCTAGCTTGCTAGCTGCTTACCGATTCATTATTTGTCCCGTTCCAGGGAAATATTTAATGAAAAAACAATGACAATTATTTGGGAAAAAAATATTGACCGGGAAGTCACCTTTTCCCTTATTGTAGGGCGGGCAGAGGGCAACGGGCAGTATCTTATCCTAATGCATTTCCTGTACAAAGAAGTCAAAACATGGCGGACGAAATATCCAAGTCTTCCACTTCAAGAAGCGTTTTAGGCGAGCATCAAGGGGCTATGGCCTGTGTCCGCGAGGAGTTAGGATGGAAGCAAAATGGGATCCGGTTTTTTTTTTTTTTTTTGGGTGGCAACAAAATAAAGGAGGATGTGTTGGGGGGAAAGGCATGTGAAGATGTCGGGTGGACCCCACAAAGGGGGGAAATAAAAGGTAGGTAATATCAACATCGGGTGTCAGTGGCAACTGCAAGCACAGCACAGACGCTGCTTCAGAAGGTTTTACTGTAACAGTATGCAACTCTCTACGTGTCTTATGCACATACTCTCCCCTCTCTCTCTAAATGCAACCTTCAATTATTCAAATTGTTAATTCAATCACTCTCAACCTGTCCAATATACGGTAGCGTGTCATGTCTTCTTAATTTTGTAAGGCAGAGTTATTCTCCACAATGCCATCACCTCAATTCTTGTCCGTTCAAGGCCTCCTCCCCAGAAAAATTAGCACATACTGATATCAAAAATTCAAAATTCGGTCCTGCCGTCCCAATTATTAACATGACATATTAACGGGAGAATTACTGAGACAAAGAAAAAATTACTAAAAAAGTCTTAATAACTAATGAAATTATAAAAAATATATTTTTTTAGTTGAGACTTCATAATAATTCTCCCAATATTAATTATCAGCTTGGCATTGGCAGCATGCATTTTGCATGTTGCTGCAGATCTATCACTTTCTCCCTGTCTCTCCCATTACATCTTATGGACAACTAGTGCCCAATGATCGACGACGCTGAAGGGAGCCTGCAGCTTTTGGACGTACGCGCGTAGCAGTGATTAACCAGCACCATAAAGGAATATGCATTCCCCAAAATGTGAGTAATATATATATATATATATATATATATATATATAGAAGCATCTACGGATTGATCAGATCGTTTCATTAATAATTATTAACAACCGTTAAAATTAACCTTCTTAGTTAATCACTCATGTAACCCAAATTCCTTGCCTGACATTCTATATGATGTGGACATATCCACAGAGCAATGAGCATGTCCGGAGGTTCTCTCAGTGGGAGAGAATATTATATAATAACGATCGAGACCCCACCATTTTGCACTTGCTGATAATGAGCCCCCCACCAATACATTCTAATTGATCCTCTCTCACTATCCCACATCACCATTGGCCCAAACACGGACAAAACAGGCCAAATATCTTAAGCTTCAAATATATATATATATATATATATATATAATATAACCCTTCTTTCTTTCTTTCTTTCTAATTAAGCTGGGGTGAGCAATCAGGAGGCTAATGATGCAGCTAGACAATAAGGCCCTTTTCTGTTTTCGGCAGCAAAATTATTTGAGTTGTCCTTTGTTCCTTTTCTCTGTGCTTTGTTTGTGTAACAGGGGAAATGAGCCCCGAGTATTTTTGCTTCCACTGTACGTACAGGTTTCAAAAATTCACAGAGACGAAAAGGGAAAGCGAAGGTGCAAATATGGGAAAAGGTAGAGTACCGTAGGAGTGAAAGTAAAAGTGAAGCACAGAATTATGGAAATGGTCTCAGGTCCTGTTTGCTATGTAATAGAAGCACAGCCATCACATTACATATTTGGGCAGTGTTGGTTCTGTTACATGACATTTCTTATTATTCTACATTTCGTGTTTTTATTATTTATGAATAAAAAAAGTACGAGAATAATTTATTTATTTTCCGTTTACATGATCGTGCCAGCTTCCCACAGGCTCACATGATGGCGCGGGAAAGCATGGGCACTGTAGGTCTTCCATTAGTGGGCTTTTGCACCCCCTCTCTTGTGTGGACTTTAATCGGGTAAAAGCCCATCGAGGTAGAGCCTAGTCTAGAAGAGGGCCAGTTCATGGTTAAGGCCTGGAAAGGATTAAGCCCAAACTATGATGGGCTGTAGGAAGATCCAGCTCCCACGCATTGGTGGGGCAAGGAGAGGATCGATGATAACCCTAATACTACTTCGGGTCCTAATTATAAAATATTATCTGTAGACTAAAAATAATACCTTATAATTAAGACTGGGGGTAGTAGTAAGTTATTTCAAAAAACAACTGATTCTTCGAGACTTCAAGTGAATCGATTGGTACAAGGTATTAGCATTTAGGTAACTCAGCACTCGTTTTCTGTAATTGAAGTTTCTTGGTCGAGTCTTGAGAACAGGAAAAAAATTAGTAAAATGATGGGTTTTTAACATGATCAGTTTCCTTTTTGTATCATAACATTTTTATAAAATTCATATGTGATCCTTGATGCCACTCATTAACGAATGCTATGCAGTATACACATGAGAACGTGAAATTCAAAGTCCAAACTCGTCAGTATCCTGTGTTTGACATTATTGCATTTAGGTGGGCTGTACATTTAAGTTTTACCTTTTCAGGGATATATATATACTCCTCCGGTTCTAATTATAAGACCCAATTAATTTATTTGAGGAGATTGAGGAAGTGAGTTAAGTTAGTTATTTATAATAAATAAGTGTTGTCATTCCTAAAATATCCTTGCTAATTAAGTATATTGGCTAAAACTATCATTATTAGAAGGATTATCTTGGAAAAAAATGCATAAATATAAGAGACAAAATGGATTGGGTCTTATAATTAGGACCAAATAAAAAGTCAAATTGGGTCTTATAATAAGGACCGGAGGAGTACCTAAATCCAGGAACCTAATTCAAAATCAGGTTAAACTTACATGCACTGATATGTTAATTTTTCCAATATTGCAGTATAGGATGGTAAGTCATGCCTCTTAGAAGGAGAATTTAATTAAATTTCTCAAGCAGTAAAAATTTGGTCAAATGGACAGCGAAACCTGTACAAAATCATTTGCATAAAATACAAACATGGAAATAAGGGAACAACCTCCTCAATTGATACCAACGACTATTCGGTCCGCGTAAGGACCTGCCCTCTATGCCCTATAGCTCACTTGATGGAGAATTTCGTGGACTGTGGATTATTGTAATGTTCAGATCATTTGGCAATAATTTTCACTGCCTAACTTTATAGAATCGTCACTGCCCCAGCAGCAAAGGGGGTTATCTCACACTCCCTGTCTTCTTTTAGTGTTTCACGGTTGTTACAGTGATCGGCAAACAGGGCAACCATAAACTAAACGATCCTGACAAACAACAATCTCCACATGTATTGCTTCTGTACGTTGGAAAGGATACAGTTCCACCGTCATGGAACTGTTAGGTTTTAGAAGCTACCGCTATACATTCCGCAAATCAAAACCCTGTTATCCTCAAGCGTTTCCTGCAAAACTCATAGTCTGCTCCATGATGTCCACTGTAGTGTTTGTGCAGCCCATAAGGTTTATCATATTGGTACTATTCCCAACACACGCTGTGGAAGTTTCAGCATTTTCCGAAAATGGCAATCATGATGGATTATTGACATGGCAAAAAGCTTCAGGACAGTTCTTCCTCTTCGCTTTATTGCGACGCATAAGGATCTTTCCCATGGACACTTACACTGACCCTTCCTATGTCAGGGCTCCATAGCATATTTTCAAACTCCATTATTCACTGCGCCACAGGTCCCACGTCTTCCCCCCACTCACTACCCACTCATCCATGACTTTCTTCTACTGTTACAGACCTCTCAAGCATTATTGGATTCAAAGCTTTCAATTTTGACAGTGAAACATTAATTATAAACAATTTTTCTTTTTTAAAAAAACATATTCCCAGGTGGCCCATAATTAGCAGATCACAGTGATGGTCCTCTCCGCAGTCAAATGAACTGGTGCACCATTGCTTAGGCTATCAATATTAACTAATTATTAATCGCCAATGCATGCAAATGTGATGGGCTTTCAAAAATAGGTAAAGAGGCAGATCTTGACGCGCTCAGTAATTTATACTTGACTATTCAGATACAAAGGGGAAGACCAAATACACACAACATCAAGGCGCTACATGGGTCGATTGTATTATAGCTACAACGTAGGGGGAAAAAGGGCCAAAAGGAGGGGAAAAATACAAAAAGGAAAAACAAAGAAGCCGATAGGCTATATAAATGTGGACAAGGTCTTTGCAACTGTTGAATGATATATGTCCCTGATTGATAACGAAAAGGCGTTAGAAATAGATCAACGCAGCCCCTGTAACGGAAGAACCAACCCCTGTTTTTTCTTCTCTCTTTTCCTCTCCGCCTCTTGTAACTCTGTTCATGTTGTTCGATTATTGTCTGAGGTTGGTCGGTGTCGTTTTCCAATGTTTAATGTAAAATTTCTAGTGCCTAGAGAAACGTGGTTTCGATTATTGTCTAGTTACGTGACAACAATGAACTGTAGTGGGTGTTTATTTATACGGTAGGAGCCACATTTAATATTGAGTTTTAGTTTAAACCTATCGCTCTTTGTCCGTCTCTCTGTATCTTTTTCCCCCCTGAATCCCTACCATAGAATCTCTCCCAAAATAGCCCCCTCTCGGCTCTCACCCCCTCCGTTCTTCTCTTTCATGAAAATATATTATTTGTTAATCCCTTTGTCTCCTCAGATTACATTATAGTCACTTCAAACACCGAGCATCACTCTCGCTCGCACATGGGTGGTGCGCCTTCTTTCAAGCCATTCACCAGATTTTTCTTATTCTTCTTCGTCCTCCCCACCACAATCATACTCCTTGCACCGACTGCTGCTGGTGAAACCCCATCTTCTCCTTTAGGCTGGACCGATTATGAAAACGCCACGGGAAAAAATCCGCCTCCGCCTCCGCCGCCATCGGGAAGTCAACGTGGCGGAGGAGGAAGAGGGTCTCCGTTTAAGCCGAGCGTGGTCGTTCTAGTTGGGGTGATGACAACCCTGTTTTTTCTTACCTTCCTCCTCCTCCTCTATGTTAAGCACTGTAAACCAGAGGAGGAGCCGCTAAGGAATTCGCATACAAGCGCTGGTTATTCAGGGAGGAAGAACTCCGGCATTGACAGGGTGGTGATCGAGTCGTTACCCATTTTCAGATTCGGATCGTTAAGGGGCCAAAAAGAGGGGCTTGAATGCGCCGTTTGCCTGACCCCGTTTGAGTCCGTGGAGGTTCTTCGGTTGCTTCCAAAATGCAAGCACGCCTTCCATGTCGAGTGCGTGGATACGTGGCTGGACGCGCATTCCACTTGCCCGCTTTGCCGGTACCGGGTCGACCCAGAAGACATCCTCCTGGTTGGGGACGCCAAAATTTGGCCGCAGAATCAACCCATTCCACCGATACAAGAGATTTCTGAAAATCCGCAGCATTGTACAGACATAGAGAGCGGCCTTGGACAGGATTCACAGAATCTGTTCGATTCAAACTCGATTCTAAGGCGCGTCTCCGGGAGGCACTCATCCGTAGGGGAGAGAGGAGGAGGAGGAGGAGGGGCTGGTGGTGGTGGGCTCTTAAAGATTATATTCCAGCATCGAATCAGCGTGGACGGCGAAACGACGCCGACGCCAAGGCAGAAGAAAACGGCGCTGCTTAGGATGTCACTGGACAGTGCAATGTCGACGAAGAGGAAAAGAAACGAGACCGGTAAAGCAAGGGAAGGCAGTGAGTGCGATGGCGCAAGAAAAGATGGGTTACTGCTTACGGAGAAGGAGAAGAAGCACAGGGTGGAACACAGGATCATAGTGTCTCCGTCAGAAAAGGCGAACGGGCTTAATCAGAGATGGAGCGACGTACAGCCGTCGGACTTACTATACCTGACGTCGGAGATGATACTGAGCGAATCGCGTTCCTCATCGGGGCCGTCGCTTCCAGGGCCTCAGCAACAGAATGTGCAGCTGCCACTGTACCGGAGCACAGGAGATACGCGTACGGGGGCAATAAATGTGAGGAGCTTGTCGGAAATCACGGGATTGAGCAGGACGAGGAGAGAGGAAGGGGAGCATCGTCATCGTCGGGCAGAAGAAGAAGAGAGACAGGCGGGAGTAGTATCGAGATGGTTGGCCTGGATCTCTCAGTCGCAACGATCTGTACGGTAGCCATTGAATTCTCGTCTCGTCTAGTCTCAGCTCATACGGAGAATGCTCTTTCTGACAAAAACGTACTGCCCATTAAATTTTAGTTGTAACTTTAGCATTGGCCTTAGCGTTTAGGGTAGAGCAACTAGAGAGGAAATGGGATCAAATTCAATTGTCCATCCATTATTTTCACTAATACCACCCTTCGTTAACTTACTCAGTTTAGATTTTAAAGCATGGAATTTTTATTTTTAAGCACCAAACACACAGTACTATAAATTAATACTGCGCTATGATACGAACCACTTTCAATAGTAAAAATTTACTATTGTCCAAGAACCGCAGGAATGAAAAAGTGAAACTGCATGCAGCGCAATAACAAATTGTTTTTCATGTAAGGCCCGCAGGGACACATATCAGGACAATCATGGTTATTGTCAAAATCAACAAGTGCGATCTTGTTTAGAGTTAGATAAGTATTTTGTTCCAGAATTAGTTTATTTTTGAAAAGATATAATTTTTTCTCAATATGCTCCGATTTTCCAGTCATTGCAATAGCAAGGAAATTTTTATTAAAACATAGTTACAATGAACATAATTAAAAACAATATTACAGAGAAACATAAAAATTTGAGAAAATTATAACAGTGGCATGCTGTTGATGATATACATAGAAGGCAGCCTTGTTGAAGAAAGCGCGAGAAGCGCATAAAAAGGGGTGGGGATGTGTGAGTAATGGAGAGGGGAGGGTGAGAGTAGGGAATGGAAGGAGACAGCCACTGATACCGAAGCGAAGAGGGAGCATGTGAAGAGGAGCATATTTGCGTAATTTTGCATTCCCCACGCACACAGCCCTGGGCCTCTGTCCCCTTCTCTAATTGTTCACATCTTGAAATTTGCAAATGAGTCCAGAATCGGTCACTAATTAAACCATTCTGTAATCAAGGTTACTCAGAACCGGACACTCGTGTTTCTTGTCTCACCTTTCCTACTTATTATTTTTAATACTTTTCAAAAAGGTAATGCAATGGCAAAATCTTTTTATGGTTTGTGGATTATGAGGAAGGCATTATCTCCGTGAATGCCCCTATACATTTAAAAAATAAATAATAAGCGCCCTCCTTTTCTTTACTGGATTCACTTGTGCTTCATCCCAACTCACACCCATCCCTTTAATGCTTCCCCTTGTCGTTAAGCATAAAGACATAACTATTGCAAGGGGTAGCAAAGTAGATACAGAGCGATTTAGTATCGGAATTTATGGGTGAGAGATTAGAAAGTTGCGGGCACAATTGCACATAACATGGCAAATACAACCACGCAATGTGCTCTCCCTTTATTCCCGCAAGAGCTAGAAAATACCGAGGATCTGCAAACCTAGTGCCGACGCAATGATAATCTATAGACAGTGACAAGTCTTCGGTCTTAAAAATCAAATGCGGCTCAAAATAAGATCGTACCCTGGCCCCCTCGCTGCTCTCCGTACTAGCGTTGTGGCGATACAAGACTAGGACCTTAGCAGCATGAGCATGTGCGGACGGATGGGAACAACTCGTGGGCTCTTCAACGCCGCAAGAGCTTTGTAAGTACTTCAGTTGTGGATTGGTCGCGGAGGACAAGGAAGCCCAACGTGGGAGCCTAACAGCGTTTTTAACACTGAACAGAATTTCACTTCCGCTTGATAGCCACACAACAGGGCGATCGAAAGGAACAACGGGGAAACAACAAGCTTCGTTCCACTACCCCAACCAGCCTGCTTATTCTCAACTGATTTAAGTACTGTTCCGTGTACTCGGTTCTGGCAAATGCCCCGAATGTTCCTGCCCCGATAAGTTATATCAAAACCGAAAAGCTTCTTAGATTTTTGAGGCGGACGATGTCAGTTCCCCTGATCATAAAATTTTGTGCATTTTTTTCAGGAGTTCGCAATGAATTCCTTTTTTTTTTTTTTGGTCCTTTTAAATAACAAGCAGATTCTTATACAAGTCAACATTCTATGACTGGGCATTTGTCCAGAAAAAGTAACTACGGTATATTTTAATTACAAGTTACAACATCATACAGCTACAAATTTCACATGCACATTGTCCTTTCACTAATTTAAGATGAACGAAACAACCTATGAATATTTGTAAAGTCTATCTATTTAGATTAGGACTAGATATAAAGGTTTTCCGGATATTTCAAGGAGTTCACGTATCAGTAAAATGATACTGAACCCATTTTGATACATTACAGAGCAACAAATTCACTTTGAATGAAAAGAACACGATTCATAAGGAAAGGTTTTAAGTGATGTCACCTACAATTGCTAACGATGGGTAGAGTTTCTATCGGGTTCAATAACATAATAGCTCGTTTGATAATAATTTTATAACTTGTTGGAATTCAAAAAATTCCCCAGACAGATACCAAACGATTTTAAGAGTTTTCTCATCCAAATCCACCTGAGACAATTCGATCCTTCAAGCTTTTAGGAACAATCTTAATCCTCATACATATTTTCAAACTTAAGACTCAGATAGCATGGTATTGACATTACCTCCTATATCCCCCACTTAAGACTACAAACTAAAGAAAGTTGAACTAAAACCTTTTTATACACAGTATCTTTGGATGAGGCAAATGCGAAACATGCTGTTTCTTTCCTATTATTTGATAACTAAAAGACTGTAAGAATGATATTATTGTAATCCCTCAAGATAATAGAATTGAAATGAAATACCAATAGCCCCTGGATCGAGTGGAATTTGATACTCTTTAAACAGGATATGGTCCTGCAGAAAACTAGTACTTATTTGGGACTTGACAATGCCGAATATACATTAGCTGATAATAGCAAATATCATATGATTGTAAAACAAAAAAAATAAAAAATCGAAGCAGAATTAACTTTCACTTTTTAAAATGACGCAAAAGCAATATGTGGGATGTCAATTTGGCAAGCATACCATTTTTTGAGGATCAACATACAAGAATGTTTTCTATGCAAATCATCAGTACCAATTATCAATATAATCAATACATACATAAAATCTATAAAATCTACAGCAAATACCACTATTCATCAGCCACAAACATTAGCTATTTTTTCAGTCTTCATACAATAAACAAAAGAATGTGTTTACTTTCTTCAAAATAAAGAAGCAGCGCCAGCTAATGAAAATGAACCAGTGATGATAGCAAAGAATTAATCAGCTACTTATGTACAATTTATAGAAGTATTTAGGGCAACAAGAATGTTGCCAAATTCATTTTAACAAGGGAGGAACCAGCCATGGTTTGGCATTAAAACAGATCAGTAACTTCGATCCTTTGTTTAAAAAAACTTGCTGAAACAACTATATGGCAAATAGTACAAAGTTGCACGCTATCAAGCACGAAGTAGTCAGTTAAATTAACAGAAATCTACAAACAAGTAACAACTAAATGATACTGAAACAACAGTACCTACACGTTTTCCAGCCAAGCATCTTCAGCTTTCTTTGGTCTTCCGAAGAAAGCACAGGCACGCCCGTTCCCGCCACATCAACCGCCAAATTAACAAATTTCCTTCCATCAAATCTTCATACTCTACAATCAAGGCATTCTCAACAACAAATTGCTCTAGCTCTACAGCAGTTAGGAACCCAAGTGCTTTTCAACTGATCTGAGCAAAGCGTAACCTCAAATTTAGTTTATAACAATAAAGGATTCTCCTGGGGCCTTCCTCGGTCTTCCTCGCTTCCGCCCACTAGATCCCGAGCCTGAACGGATCCCATTAGAAATACCTCCGGCCTTCGCCGTCTTTGCCACAGGCTTTGCGGCCGCCACGGGTTCTGCTTTATTCCAACCATTCTCTGACTGCCGGCCATATTGAGATACGGGGGGCGTCCAATTTGGAAATCCTGAAGGGGTCGCAGCTTCTTTGCCGACGGAATTAGCAGTGGCTAAAGTTAATGGAAAGAATCCCCAGCAACAATAATAGGCCTCCTGGCCTGCCACAAGAGGCGGCAATGTCGGGATCGAAACCCCATGGAACGATCTCTCGCAGTTCTGGCACCTTAGACAACATCCCTCGTAAATCTTAGGATACTCGCACAGCAAATAACAGTAAGGGCAGGCCGTCCAGAAGGTCGACGGATTCCGTCGTGAATTTTCATCGGCTCCAGCGTCCCTAGTGGCGGTGCCATTATTCCTGAAATCAAACCCCTGGTTCCCACCACCAGCGAACCCCGCTCCGGCTCTTCGGACCGGCAATTTTTCTTGATGAGCCCAGCCGGGCCCGCTCAAATCAACCGGAGAGAAGGAACCAAGCTCCTTGTCGTAGAGCGACTTTTTGGCAGGATCCGATAGAGTAGCCCATGCCTCGGCGACGAGCTTGAATGCATGATCAGCGTGTGAGAACCTGTTCTTGTCAGGGTGGAGGAGAAGTGCGAGCCTCCGATATTGCTTCTTGATGAGATCTGTGTCGTCCGATCGGCGATCAACTTGAAGAATAGAGTACCAGTCAAGGTGATTGTTTAATCGGTTATCAGCGGCGAGAAGGACGTCAATGACGGCCAGGATTTGATCGGAACCCTCTAGAAGGGGTTCGGTTTCTTGGGCCAAAATGGCAAATTCTCTCGAGCCGCTGAGATCCCGATCGGACAAGAGCTTTCAGCGACCCCAAGCAAACGTTCAGCTTCTTCTGCTTTCTCCATTTTCTCAATTTAAACAGGGAGATGGGGGGTTGCTTAACTGGGAACGAAGTTGCAGGGAGAGTTTGAAGCCAAATTGAAAAATTCTTTTGGAATTGGACAGTAATATAATCAAGGTTAAGATTCAATCAGCCAGCGCTACGTTTTTTATTTAAGTTAATTTCTTCTGATGCACTTTTTAATTTCCTTGGAAATAGTCTTTTTTTTTTTCCTAACTGTTTTAGCACCTTATAAATTCTGTTAATTTCAATATATTATTTTGCCTTTTATTCAAAAAGAAAAATTAATACTTAGAAAAGCATGCCAAAATATTATGAAGCACAAAATGTTTTAGTGACACACTTAAAAAATACTTTAAAATGATGAATTAACCTTAACTTACTAAATAAATAAATAATATAATATTATTAAATGTTGTCAAAATGAAAGTCTTTCTCACCATGCTTT